AGAGAGAGAGAGAGAGAGAGAGAGAGAGAGAGAGAGAGAGAGAGAGAGAGAGAGAGAGAGAGAGAGGACAGCTCACCTGGCGAAGCAACCCTTTGCTTGACTGGGAGACTCTGAGGTGGGCAAGCAGTGTCGCGTTCAGCAATCAGCAGGAATTGAACTGCTCATTTTCGTGGTACAAAAGCACGACTTGGATCGGCTCCATGTGTCCTTATGTCCGCGGTCTCTTCCGCGGTGGACCTCCTTCCCCGTCCATATCACCGCGATGCCCAAAACTTTCCCGATATGGTGAACCAGGGGGATTACTCCCTAGTTCTGCATTTCCTCTGCCCCGATCCCCGGGCGGTCCACATGCAGGACCACTTCTCTCTACGGAGACCCCCCGGCTCCCAAAGCCTTCTCCGCCGGACCCCCAGCCACCCCCCCCACTGCCACCACCGGGGGTCCCCACACTACCAGGACCCCCGACCCCGCTCGGCCTCCCTGAGTCCATTCTTGCTCCCATGTTTCCTCCAAAGTCAAATCCCCCTTCTGGACCATTACCCCCCCCTGGGGTTGCATGACCTTCTCTGTCCCCCCTCCCTCCCAGACCCCAACCCATAACCGGCATGAAGTTGGGGTTCATCCCCATCCCCATTCCCATCCCCCTGTCTCCGCGTCTCTTCTTCTTCTTCTTCTTATACCCTCGAGGTTCACCTGCATGCGCCCGTCTCTCCTCCCTTCTTTGTTGGTTCCCCCCCGCACCCTTGGGACTGTCCAGGCCAAAATCCATCCCCCCCCCGGGCCCGCGACCCCAAGGATGGTGACCCCTTTCACACCCAATGGGTGGAGGTGGCATACAAATTCCTGGAGAGCCCATACCTCTTCCCCCCCCGTGCATCACTGGGCCCCGACCGCAATCACCCATTCCCAGAGGTGCAGGACCATGCTGATGTTCCCTCTCGCGATGATGGCCTGGAGGGGGTAGAGGATATCCCCCCATCGCCCCTCGTCCGCCAGGCATCATGGGAGGGCCAGCGCCAGGATAGGGAGGTTCTCCAGGAATGGGCATAGGAGGCATGGGTCTCCTCATATCCATTCCGACAGGCATACCCCTTCCTGCCCTCAGGCCCGGAAACCGATCGAGCCCGGGGAACTCCATCTCCATGCGCTGGATGAAGAGCACCTTCAACTGCCTTGCGCTCTCCTGTGCCTCGGACCCTTGAGGGCATGCCAGGACAAAGCTGTCCAAGAGACGGCAAACGTCGACCGTGAAGTCTTCGATGCTCAAGTACTCGCACCGGTGAAGCCGTTTCTCGATCAGATGCATGTCAAGCTGCTGGCCTCCAGGCGGGCAATTCGGCTGTCCTGGGAATGCCGGATGGCGATCCGGCGGACCCCCTCCCATAGGGGGTCCCCCACCGTAGTTTCCTCCTGCTGGTCCGGCTCCTCCTCCTCCCCCTCCTCTCTGATGAGCACTCCGCCAAAGTGAAGCAATCTGGCGGTTCAGCCTGGCGACCATACCGTGCACCCGACCAAGAATTCCCTGACACTTGGCATGTGCTGCCTCGTTCATGGGCCAAAGGGAATTTCCCGGGCCTGGTCCTATACCTGGCCCCATCGCCGGACCCAACCCTGGCCCCGGTCCTGGTCCTGCACCTGGGCCTGCGCCTGGCCCACCCATGTGCATGGGACCCAAGCCCCGCATGTCACTGTTCATATCAGGAGGCATATCCCTCCTATCAAAGCCTGGAGGCATGTCCTCCATGTCCCCCATACCTCCACCTCGTGTGGGTGGTCCTAGCCTCCCTTCGTGTTTTCTTCCCATGCCATACTCTGGTGGAAAAGGGGGTCCCTGCCTCCAATCCCCTTCACTAACAACATGTCCCCCACCTGCTCCTCGACCCCTACCACGCGCACCTCCACCCCACTCCATCATACCTCCCCCTCTGCCGACCGGGCTCCCGCCCGGCGGCACACCACCATGCATCGGCATAGGAGGGCCACGCCCACCAGGCCCGCTTGGCATGCGGCCCGGCGTAGGCAGTCCCCCATGCTGAGGACCTAGCCGCACACCGAACCCCAAATCCTCCATCGCCAGGTCAAATGGCTGACCGGAGTTGTACACACCCCGAGGGCCGCCTTCTACGCCCAAGACATGTGGTGAGGGTATGGATGTCGACATCCCTTTCCCCATGCCGGGCGGGAATATGGGAGGTGGTTGCCGGCGATTGCCCTCGTCTCCCAGGCCCCGCACAATCGCGCCTTGCTCTCTCCTGGAGCTGGATACATGTTGCTTACCAACCCTCTTCCCTCCCTTGTGGCTATCGGGATCAAAATTCGGTGGCACTCCCAACCCCATTGCAACCCCCATGCCATGCCTTCCACTACGGCCCCACTCTCCACCGCCACCACTACCTCGTCGACGCCTCCGAGGATGATCCTGACCCATCATCGATTCCTCACTTTCCCTTGCAATCTCTCCCTCCTCCAGCTCTTCTGCAGTCAGCATTCGCCCATCCTTTTCATCTGGCTCGTGGTGCCCTTTCCAACCCCCATCTTGCCTAACATCAACCCCCTGCTCCCGATCGTGGCGCCGATAAACCCCCCTTGTTCCATCCTCATCTCCCACATCCCGGCGCTGCCATTCCCGGCGTTCTTTGTCAGGCTCTAGTTCCCCTTCTTCCATGTTCCCATTCATCTCACCTTCCTCTTTCTCACTCTTCAATTCTCCTTCCTCCGCATCGGCACACATCTTCGTCTCCTGGGTGGCTGTCATGCCCTCTCGTCCATGCCTACTTATGCGCAAGTCTGGCTTCTCCGACCTGTCTGCTCTTTCCATTCTCTTCCCCTCTGCGGACATCTTCCCTCCCTCCTCCCACCTTTGCCCGTATTCCCCCTTCTTCATACCTGTCTCGCCCATCACCCCGCTTCCCCCGCGCTCAGTGCTTTTGTCACTTCTCCCTTGCAAGGTAACCCTGGCAGCAGACGAGTCTTCCTCCCCACCACCTCCTTCGGCATTCAAACCTCCCTTGTTCATGTCGTCATAGTTGACCAAGCTAACTGCCTGCTGCTGCTGTTTTGCAGCCCCTGCATCCCCCAGTGCTCTATTGCCAATTGCCTCCTTCTCATGCTCCTCTTCCTCCTCTTCCTCCTCTTCCTCCTCTTCCTCCTCCTCTTCATCACTCGAATCCCTACTTTCTGCATACACTCGGGTGACCTCCACAGCCTTTGGCCCCCATCTTCTTTCACTGTTCTCTCTTATTTCGGCAATAGATATTCTCCTGCCCTCGCTGTGCTCCTGTTCACTGGCTTTAGAGGGTGTTCTCCTATTCCTATCTTCCTCTTCGTTAACCTCCTCTTCCTCTTCCTCTTCCTCTTCCTCTTCCTCTTCCTCCCCTTCATCCTCTTCCACGGCCTCTCGAGCATCCTCCATATCCGGCGCTCGAGCGCACACTTCATCCCTCTCATCCTCGATTACCTTATGATCCTCTACTTCACCGCGCTCACTGCTTCTTAAACCATTCACCTCTCTCTTTGTTCTCCTTTCCTCTTCTTGTTTCACAGCTGCCTTTCGTTCCATAAAATTATAACATCCATCCATGTCGAACTTCTCCTGACTCACACTCTCCATGTGCTGCAGGTTCTTTCTGGATGCTTTAGCCACGTCATTCTCTTCTCCCTGTCCTTGCTCTTCCTCCTCCTCTTCTTGTTCTTCCCCCGCCTCCTCGACCTCTCTCTCCTCTCCAGCTTCCTCTGTTTCTACCTCTGCATCTACTTCCACTTCTTCCTTCGCATCTCCTGCTTCGTCTTCTTCTTCTTCCTCCTCTTCTTCCTCCCCCTCCCCCACCTCCTCCTCCTCCTCCTCTTCTTCTTCTTCTTCAATTTCTCTGTCTTCATCTTCTCCCTCTATTGCCACTGTGTCTTCTACTACAGCTACTCCATCATCTTGTTCTTCTCCTCCTCCTTCCACTACTATATCTTCTTCCTCTATAACTGTTTCTTCCTCTTCTTCTTCTTCTTCTACTTCTTCTTCCTCCTCCTCTTCTTCTTCTTCCTCTTCTTCTTCTCCTTCTTCTTGTCCTTCATCGTCTTCTTCCTCTTCCTCTTCTTCTTCATCTGCATCACGTTCCCCTTCATTGTCATCACTATTCTCCCACCCCTGCATGTCTGCCTCCAGTTCTCTGCCAGGCCTCCATTCAACCCGCCTTTCCACCATCTTCTCTCTTAATTTCAAGACCTCCCCCTCTTTAGCATCCGCAACCTTTGGTGCCTCATGGCCCCTTCTCCGTGCACTTCTCCATTCTGTCGGAGGACGATTCCTTTCAACCGCCACCCTCTTCTCCTCTTGCTCCTCCTCCTCCTCCTCCTCCTCCTCCTCCTCCTCCTCCTCCACTTCCTCCTCCTCCTCTTCCTCCTCCTCTTCCACTTCATCCTGTTCCTCTTTCACTTCTTCCTCGCGCTCCTCTTCTTCCTCCTCCTCTTCCTCCTCTTCCACCTCTTCCACCACTGGTTCCTCTTCCTCCTGTTCATCCTCGTCTTCTTCCTCGTCCAAGTACATGGTTCTCTCTCTTCCCCCTTTCCCATTAGTAAGGGACTGCGGAGTCACTTCTCTTCCTTCTGACCTTGATGATCTGAGACTGCGACGTCGTTCCCGCGCATCGGTCTCCACATCTAGCACTGCATTGTCAGCTGCTCTCCGTTCACTGGCACGGTAGTCGTCTCCCCCATCAGGACCACCACCAGCAGCAGTTCTTTCTGCGGCTCTCCCACGGCCACCACGCCTTGCTGGCAATGGAGGAACACCTGCCTGTCTACCGCCACGTGTCCCAAAGCCTACTTCAGTGGGGAACAAGCTAGACCTCTTTCCACTCTGGCGTGCTATCTCTGCAATGGCAGCCTCAGCATCCATGGTGGTGGCTCTTAGCCATGCCGGGATTTCCTTCCTCCCCAGCAGTTTCCCTGGCCATGTCATTTCACGGTCCATTTGCGCGAAGAGCGCTACCTCCTCCTCGGACCTTGCAATCATTTTGTTAACCTCCTCCAGTGTGGGAACATCATGTGCCACTGCCTGCCATCGCTCCTCGTCGTGCAGCAAGGCCTCAAGTGTCATTCTCCTCTCCTCGTGCGTGGTGCGCTGGTCGAAACGGCCCGCATTGATAACTTCGTCTGCCATGTCTATCTTGTGTTGCTGAATGGTGTTCCTCACCAAACTTTCAATGGAGCCAACAAACTTGCCCTTCGTCTTCCGCTTTCTCCTCTTCGTCTTTCTTTTCTTCTTCTTCACCGTCATCTTTGACTTCCTTTTCCGCAAACTTCCCCCTCTACCAATCAAGCTCTCTTCCTCCTCAAAGTCATCCTCATCGTCATCATCATCCCCATCGTCTACCTCTTGCTGCGACTCGGAGCTCTCCGTCGAGTCCTCTGAGCTTGACTCCTCACGCCGTCCTCTCGAGCTCCTACGTGCTTCATCCTCACCAACAAAGGATGAAACAGAGTCCACAACCGCCTCCAAATACAGCACCCTCACCTCCTTCTTCTGGCCTATTCTATGTGCGCGTGCCACTGCCTGCTCCTCGTTCTTCGGATTCGGGTCGGGGTCGTACACAACGACTGTGTCCGCCGTTTGCAGGTTAAGGCCTCTCCCAGCCGCACGGATGCTCAACAAGAATATAAAGCAATCCGATCCCGGCTTATTAAAGTACACAATCGCCTGTTCGCGGTCCTCCAATGGCGTTGTGCCATCAATTCGCCGGTACACGTACCCTCTCCAGGCTAGGTACTCCTCCAGGATGTCCAACAGCTTTGTCATGGTGCTGAAAAGTAGGACCCTATGTCCGGAGCGGTGCAGTTTCCGTAGCACTCGATCTAGCATCCACAGCTTGCCACATGCCCGAACAACATACTCCTCGAAGCCCAAGTTTTGTTCAGGATAAGATAAGTATGGATGATTACACACTTTGCGGAGTTCCATGCACTTGTTCTGCAGAGGTGCGTAAGTTCGAACTGGCCTCTTCGAGCCTGCTGTCCGCTGAATCTCCAACTCGGGGTCGAGCCGAAGCGTTCCGGTCGCCTTCACCCAGTCGTATATAGCTGCCTGATAGGCAGACATTCTGCACTTCAGCACATAAGATACCTTTGGTGGAAGGTTTCCCTCCACCTCCTCGACTCGGCGGCGAAGCATGAATGGCTCCAAGATCTGATGAAGCCTGTGGATCACAATCACCTTCTTTTCCGTCTCCAACCATGAATCGTACTGCTGATTTCCCCCCCCTGCCTCCCTATCTCTTCCTTTCTCTCTCCCACTTCCTCCTCCCCCCCCCACCGACTCTCTATCTTCAAAGCACTTGGCGAACCACTCGTGAAACCACTTGCTGTTGTCGAACACCTGTGGCAACAGCAGGTTAAGCAGCGACCACAGCTCCCCCAGGTCATTCTGTAGCGGTGTCCCCGTCAGCAGCAGCCTTCGATGGCAGCGGAACCTATCCAAATCCCGCGACAACCTCGACTCCCGATCTTTCATCCTCTGCGCTTCGTCTATGATCATGTACCTCCACTCAATCTTCGACAGCCTCGCTCTGTCTCGCATTACAAATTCAAACGTCGTCACCAACACGTTGAACCGCACCGACAGGACTTCCTGCATAAAAAGCCTCGCTCTCTCCTCCTTCCCCCCTGTGTAAATAATGCAGTTCACCGATGGCAACCAGTGGTTCAGCTCACTCTTCCAGTTGACTACCACTGCGTTCGGCACGATGATCAAATGTGGACCGTAATTTGCTTTGTGCTCCATCAGGTGGGCTATCAGAGCCATAACCTGCACCGTCTTCCCAAGACCCATTTCGTCCGCCAGAATCCCGTTCAGACGGTTGTTATACAGCGACAGAAGCCATTGCACGCCCACCATCTGGTACTCGCGCAATTTGCCGCCCTTTAGCAGCATCGGCTGCGTCACGACGCGTTCATTGACAGTATGTGCAAGAGTATAGTATTTCTTCGCACCCCCTCCCGACGAGCCCACCATCGCTGCCGCTGCAGCGGCCGAAAGCCCCTCCACTGCCCCGCTCCCATCGCTCGTCACCAATCCATTTTCTTCTCCGCCCCCACCAGTCCCTGTCATCAACATTTCCTCCCTCTCCTGCTTCACTTTCACCGCGAATATCTTGTCACCCAGCTTGTGAAGATACTCCTCTGTCTCCGTCAGAAACGCCGACAACACTTCAAACTTCTCACTCGCGTCCTCCGGCATCACCGCCTGCTGCTGACGCAGCAGCTCTCTGTACGTGTCCATGTCATTGGCCTTCAATGCATCCAGCCTTCTGTTCCGATCTTCATCTTTCCTCTTTTGGAACTCGCGCATCATCTTCTCATGATACTTTAGCACCAGCCGATTCCTTGCCAGCCGCAGGTCTCGAACTGATGACCATTGTGTTTCCATCAACCGCTTCCTCCACGAGAACAACGCCTTCATGTGCTTTTCCCTTGCGGCCTTTTGCTGTGCCATCATCTGTCGTAGCATCTCTGCCTTTTGCTTCTCACCTAATCTCACACTCTTCCGATACGCCCTCTCCCCCATGGCCATAATCTCTTGTTGGTCCTCCTCCACCTCCTCCCTGATCCGCGCCTGCAATGCCATCAATCGCAGCTTGCTTTGCTGAATTCGTAGCCGCGTTCGGAGCATCGCCAACTCCCGCTTCTTCCAACTGGGCATGCCATTCGCCGACTTGTCAAAGCAGCTACTCTGGAGCACTTCTTCGATTACACGTAGATTCCATTGCCACCTCCTCTCGACCGCATGTGCTGCCTCTTCCAGCAGCAGTTCACGGACATCATAGGCAAGTGGGATGGGCTCCCTCACCACACTAGGAAACCCTTTTTGCTGCTCCATTGCAGGATCTGCCATGGCAATGAGCTTGGGAGCTGGAGGGTGAGCAACCCCTTCCCGGTCCCAGGCAGGACCCCCCCTGCCACCCACGGGCGTGAAATCATATAACGGCCCCTTATACCTCCTCAGGGGTGGTGGGGACCACATGCTAGTACTGCTCTGATTACACCCAGCTGTGCCATGTACCGCAACGACACAAGTGCTTCCTCGACCAGCCCCCCCTGTCCCCTTCCCGCTGTTGCCCTCTCCCGCCATGCTGATGCCAGAGGAAGTACCACAGTGGGACGCCAGCATCCCCATGCCCACTTGTCCCGCCATTCTCTCCGTTGACCCCAGTGCACCAGACTCTGCCATCACCGCTGCCGCAGCACCACCACCACCTTTTTTCCTTGTCGACGATGCTCCTCCTCCTCCTCCTCCTCCTCCTCCTCCTCCACCTCGTTCCCCAACACCAATGTGCACAGGGCCCGTAGCATCGGTACCTACCTCTCGCTTGATGCCAGCAGCTGCGACATTGGCAGAAGCACAAGGAGCGGTGCTCGCGCTGCGATGCCCAGTGCCAGCTTCATCATCGCGAGAAAGCTTAACTCCCTGTTGTTTTCCACTGCCCGCCTCTTCTGCTGCGGCAACCGATTCCCCCGACGGTAGTAAAGTATGTTGATCGCCCAACTTGGAGTGTTCCACGTGCGTAGTACCAGCAAAAGCATGCGCTGGTGTAGGAGCTCCAGACTGTGATTGCTGATGAGGCTTGCTACTGGTGGTGGCAGGCCCTGTAGGCACTGCTCGATTGGGGCAGGTGGACATCTCCTCCCCCTGCTCACCAGGCCGTCCGCTCCCAACCACACACTCACTCCTAGCCATAGCCACCCCTCCCTTACCAGCAGCACCAGCAGCACCGAACGCACCCACCCTTGATGTCCCCGTGCCTGTTGATGCTCCAGTCACAGAACAACCAACAGGACCCATCAGCACTCCCCTTTCTCCTCCTCCTCCTTCTCCTCCTCCTCCTCCTCCCCCTCTCCCACCACCGATCACATCCCCACCTCCCCCCAATCCTTTATCCCCCTCCTGCACAGACAGTGCTGTTGCCTCCCTGCCATTCCATGAACCGCCGTCTGCACATGCCGAATGCTCCGCCCCTTCCACCTGCCGCCGCTGCTGCTGCTGCTGTTCCTGTCTCTGCTCTTCCTGTTGTTGTTGTTGTTGTTGTTGTTGTTGTTGTTGTTGTTGTTGTTGTTGTTGTTGTTGTTGCTGCTGCTGCTGCTGCTGCTGCTGTTGCAGCTGCTGCTGCCTCTGCTGGTGTTGCTGTTGCTGTTGATTCTGCTGTTGTTGATAGAAATGAGGGTAATGCTGGTAGTAGTGGCTGTTCTGTAGGGGCGGGGGCACTATCGCCTTCAGCATCTCCTCAGGGATTGGTTTTCCTTCCTGAAGTCTGACGAATGTATGGATCTGAGCCTTCAGGACATGAAGCTGAATTATCGAGAAGGGACCGCACTCTGCATCCGGCATGCGATTCTGTTGCTCTTGTCCAGATGCGCTCGCCGCAAGAGTAGGAGGAGGAGTAGGAGTAGGAGGAGGTGGAGCGGCACGGGCACTACCCCTTCCCCCCCTACCACCACTGTCTTGGCTTCCATCCCCTCCACGAGAAGAGCCCACCCCCCCGCCCCCTGAGCGCTGACCAGCACGACTCCCTGCCAGACCTGCAGAACCTTGTCCTCGGCGTTGAGCTGCTGCTGCTGGTGCGGGGGGAGGGCAGGGATAGGGTCCTGAGGCGGCATTACTTCCACCACTTGAGGCAGAGGGGGGAGGAGGAAGAGGGAGAGGGAGAGGGGCAGGGACCTTCTGATCCTTGGTTTTCCCAGCACTCACGTTGTCGTCGTTGTCATTCAATGTCCCAGGCGGCTGCGCAGCTGAGTTTCCACTACCACCACCACCACCAGCTACAGAGGCAGTCAGTGCAGCAGCAGCACCCGCAGCGGCCGCCACGGCAGCAGCCGCTGCAGGTGTCCAATTGAGAGGAGCCCCAGCCCCCCTGGGTAGCTGACGGCCACCACTACCACGACCAGCAGCAGCTGCAGCACCAGTCGGTTTCCCGGCCATCGGAGCTCTTCCTCCTCCTCCGCGAGGAGATGGAGAAGAAACACCACTCCCACAACCACGCCCCACCTTTCCTCCTCCTCCTCCCCCTCCTCCCCCTCCTCCTCCCCCTCCCCCCCCTCCAACCGGTTTCGAGTTCATACCCCTTCCACTTTCCCCAGAGTGCTCGTTGCATTTACCACCCCCC